ACTGCTAGGTATTTACCCAAAGTTTGCTCAAGTACACAAAAGGGATACTTGCTCAACCATGTTTATAGCAGCTTTATTTGTAATAGCCAGAACCTGAAAACAACCCAGATGTCCATCAACAGAGGAATGGGTACAGAAATTGTGGTATTTTTACACAATGGAATACTACTCAGCAATCAAAAAGGAGGAAATCATGAAATTTGCAGGCAAATGGTGAGATCTAGAAAAGATCATTCTGAGTGAAATATCCCAGAAGGAGAAAGACAAACACGGTATATACTCACTCATATAGACCTATAAGATATGATAAACATAATGAAATCTATACACCTAAAAAAGATAATCAAGAGAGCGGACATGGGGTAAGATGATCAATCCTCATTTAGAAAGACAGATGGGATGTGCATTGAACGTGTGACAGGAGTCTACTGAGTGCATCTGAAAGACTCTAACTAGCAGTGTTGTCGAAGCAAAGACTCATGACCAAACCTTTGGCAGAGTACAGGGAATCATAAGAAAGAAGGGGAGTTAGTATGATGGGGAAAGGATAGGAGCTCCACTAGGACCAAATATATCTGGGCACAGGGTTTTTTCTGAGACTGACATTCAACCAAGGACCATGTATGGATATAACCTAGAACCTCCGCTCAGATGTAGCCTGTGGTAGCTCAGTAACCAATTGGTTTCCCAAAGTGCGGGGAACAAGGACTATTTCTAACAGGAAGAGGCCCTCTTATAACCAGTACTTCCCATGCCTGTGTGATAAGCTTCTTTGTGCATAGTTGTCTAGAATTTCTCATTCCGTGGTACATGTTGCATTTCTGATGATATTAGGTATGTTCTGGGTGGTATATTAGCAGACCATCTACATTTCAGCTGGGCTCTGGGGAAGATGTTGCATCAAAAAATTACGGGAAATGTGGAAAATATGGACCAATACTCTGGGTGTACGTTGGTTAGTTTTCAATCAACTCACCCAGGAAAATAGAACCTCAATTGAAGAACTGTCAATATCAGCTTGAGCTCTAGGCTTAATCTGTTGTGAATTTTCTTGATTAATGATTGATGTGAGAGAGCTTAGACCACTGTGTATGGTGCCATCCATGAACAGGTGGTCCTTGGTTGTAAAGGAAAGTAAGGTGAGCAAGCCATGGAAAACAAGAGAGTAAGCTTATTTCTCCTTGTTCTCGGATTCAGTTTCTGCTCCCTGTGAGGCAGATTCTTTTCATAGGTATCCATGGCCAAGAGTTTATCTCTGAATAAATGTGGACATTGGTGAATGTACAAACTAAGTCAATCAGTTTCCTGATGTAGGGGCAGAAAACAGTGAGATCTTAATAATTAGGTCTCTTCTTTCATTGGCTGAAAGAACCATAACAAAAAGAGATGAAAAATGAGAGTCACAGAGAAATGTAACATTTGTTTTAGGAAAATCTCCACTATAAAGATAATCCATAATACAATGTTTGTGATTTTTTTAAATGTGATATTCAGTGTGAAATCATTCTCCAGTGCAGATAATGGACTTTTGTTCTCCTCTCAGAAAACAAAGTGTAAGACTGAATCAAATAATTTTATTTGTTGAAAGTGAGTCAAAGTGGTAAATGCCATTTCCAAAATGGTTGAAGATCATTAGCTCTTCATACTGATCCATCTTAAACATGTTGTGTTCTATTTGCTCATGCAAATAAAACAAAAATAATATTCTTACCACAAAATAAAATACCATCCTTAAAACTGCACAAGGAGACCAATAGAACCAAAAAACCTGGGTGCAGGGTACCCTGCAGAGACCAATACTCCAATCAAGGACCATGCATGGAGAGGACCTAGACCCGAATATATAAAGAATTAAAGAAGTTTAAAAGCAACAAATCAAGTAATCCAATAAAAAATGGGGTATGGAGTTAAACAGAATTCTCAGTAGAGGAATATCAAATGGCAGAGAAACACTTAAAGAAATTTTCAGTGGTCCTTAGTCATCAGGAAAATGCAAATTAAAACGACTCTGAGATTTCACCTTATACCTATGAGAATGGCTAAGATCAAAAACCCAAGTGACAATACATGCTAGAGAGGATGTGGAGAAAGGGGAACCCTCCTCCATTGCTGGTAGGAATGTAAACTTATGTAACCACTTTGGAAATCAATCTGGTACTTTCTCAGACAATTAGGAATAGTGCTTCCTCAAGATCCAGCTATACCACTCCTAGGCATATATCCAAAAGCTGCTCAAGTGTACAACAGGGACATTTGCTCAACCATGTTCGTAGCAGCTTTATTCGTAACAGCAAAAATTGGGAAACAAACCAGACGTCTCTCAATGGAGGAATGGATATAGAAATTGTGGTACATTTACACAATGGAATACTACTCAGCAATTAAATCCAGAAGAAGAAAGACAGACATGGTATATACTCACTTATAAGTGGATATTAGCCATATAATATAAGATAAACACACTAAAATCTGTAGTCCTAAAGAAGCTAAACAAGGAGGACCCTAGAGAACAGGCTGTAACCTCACTCAGAAGGGCAAACAGGATAGACATCGGAAGTAGGGGAAGACAAGGAACAGGACAGGAGCCTTCCACAGGGGACCTCTGAAAGACTCTAACCACCAGGGTATTGAAGCAGATTCTGAGACTCATAGCCAAACTTTGGGCAGAGTGCAGAAAAACTTACAAAAGAAGAGGGAGATAGAAAGATCTGGAGGGGACAGGAACTCCACAAGGAGACCAACAGAGCCATAAAGTCTGGGCCCAGGGGTCCTGCAGAGACCAATACTCCAACCAAGGACCATGCATGGAAAGGACCTAGAACTCTTGTTCCGAGGAAGCCCATAGGCTGCTTAGTTTCAAGTGGGTTCCCTAGTAAGGGAATCAAGGGTGTCTCTGACATGAACTCAGTGCGTGGCTCTTTGATCACCTCTCCCTGGGGGAGAGGGGAAGGCACATAGGAAGGTGATACAGCCAGCCCTGATGAGACCAGTTAAGCTAGGGCCAAATAGAAGGTGATGAGACCCTTCCCTATCAGGGACTAGAGAAAGGGCATAGGGAGAGAAGAGGGAGGGTGGGCGGGACTAGGAAGAGAAGAGGGAGGGGGCTGCAGCAGCCATACAAAGTGAATAAATTGTAATTAATTAATTAATTAATTGATTGATTTTAAAGAAAGTATAAATAAAAAAAAGAAAACATGTTTTCTCAGACTATTAACAGTTTATAATAGCTTAATACAACTTGGAACTGATATATTTTCCCTAGTCTGCCCTGTATATTAGAAGTGATTTAAGTATAAGAAATCCCACAGGCTTATGTCCTACCCGATTTCTTTCAGCATATCCTTAAAGGGCCTCTACTCCACCTGCTAGAGTCATGTTTCCCTGTAAAACCTCAATAGGTAGGTTTTCACTTCTCTAGACATTCTGGCTTTTGCACTGCTCTCAGAATGACCCTTTTAACTCTGTTTACCCCAGGCTTCTCAAAGTTTTCCAGACCCCTTCTGAAATTACTTCCCAGGGTCCAAGAACCAGGTGTTCAAGCTTATTGCAAGAACGACTTCAGTTCTGGTGTCATTTTTATGTATTAACTACAGGCCTTCTTCTGTGACAAAGTATCTGACCAAACCTACTTAAGGAAGGAAGGGCTTATTTGGGCTCACATTTGCAAATCATGCGATTATCATCGCAGGGCAGAATGACAGCAGGGCCACAGGGCAGGGAATCATATTGCATCCAGAGTCGGTAGGTGAGACTGATGAATAATTATGTTCATCTCACCTTTTCCTCTCTGTTGAATTCAGAACTCTGGCTCGTAGAGGGATGCCACCCACATTTATGGTGGGTTTCCCACCTCAGTTAATCTAAGCTTCATTATACCTCATAAACATGCTCAGACATTTCTTACCACAGTGGGGTTCAACTCCCATCAAGATTAACTCTGACACCCTCTTTCAGCCTTGTCTAAACCAGTTAGGAATACACATGCACATAAATTTGACAAGACCTAGAGGCACAGATATCCCAAGCATGTAGTTTGCTATATTCCTAAGGAAAGCACTCACCCACTGTGGATATAGTCAAAATTTTTGCAGCCTCTGAGAAAAGAAAGCCATGGAGACAGAAGCTCATTAGAAACAGAACCTGATGCCCAGCCATGCTCATCTGTTCAGAAATTCAGAATTCTCTGGTGGACTGTTCACCTTGGGAACCGTGCTGAAGTAACTGACCCTGCACTTCTTTGTCAGAAAGCGCTGGCTGTGGCCTTGGGAATTGGTGAAAATAGGGAACCTGTCTGTTTTATAATCCCTTTGCCTGTTGCATTTTTCCCCTCCTCCACTGCTCTATTCCTGCCCTCCTCAAACAGTTGGAGAGCTGACCTTTAAACAGACCTGTCCACATCATCTACTACTTCCTAACTAGAGACCACTTGGAGAAAAAGGATGTAATGGTCTCAGGATGCCCTGTTAATGACCATGGACCTGTATCCCCTCTATAGATCCTTTTATTAACCTGAGACACTGCCTCCCTTATCACTGTTCTACTTGCCTGATATTGTCATCTCTGTAACCTATAAGGCCAGGTGCCAGTTTAAAAATCTCTGCTAGTTTCCTAAATTCAAGGTCTCAGAAATTAATTGTAGTAAGCCCAGTGTCTGTGACTATTAACCAGAGAGGGACTGGAGCAAAGTAAGTGAATTCAGCCTTTAGAATATGAAACACAGCTTACTGAGTACACTGCAAGAGAGAAGTGGCTCCTTACAGGGCTCCTATGTTGCCACATGTCTCCTGGCCTCAGGAAAGGAAAAGCCCAAAACCTTGCATCTTTCTTCAAAATAAGTAATGATATATATTATGTACAAAATAACAAGGAAAACACTGTCAAGTTCTGCTGCCCGCTCAAAGAAGCCTGCCCTCCTTAAGCCATGTTGCAGCAGCTTTTGTGTGATGGAGATAAGCTTCCCTACATCTTTGCCTTCCAGGAACAAGACACCCGTTAGGCCTTATCATTTCAGAAGCTGAGCATTTGATAGGAGGAATCCGTTTGGGGGTGTAGTTTTCTTCTGTTCCAGTGCAGAGCAGACTTCTCTTTTGATGGCTCATTTACAGCCTCTTTTCCACGCATCTTGGCTACAACCTTATGCTCTCTAGTTGTCTTAATTAGGTTTCTATTGTTATGATAAAACACCATGACCAAAAAGTAACATTGACATGACAGAGTTTATTTCACCTTACAACAGGTGGGCCGGCAGGAACCTGGAGGCAGAGACCGAAGCAAAGGCCATGGAGGAACACCGATTCCCAGCCTACTCCCAAGGCTTGCTCAGCCTGCTCTCATCCAGACCACCACCAGAGGTGGCAGCACTCTCAGTGAGCTGGGCTCTTCCGCATCAATCATCAGGCTAGCAAACTGTTTATAAGCCAACATTATGGAGGCATTTTCTCAATTAAGATTTCTTCTTCTCAGATATGTCTAGGCTTGTGTGAGGTTGACAGAAACTAACCAGCATGTTATTGGTCTTTTTATCTACATACTGGACATTTTTAAAATTTCATTCTACCATAGTTATTGCTATTATTTATTTTAGTGTTACATAAGAGTAAGCAAGGATAAACATACCACACAAATGCTGTCTTAACTTCTCCTCTATCAGAGACGTTTATTACTTTTTAAATTCTGACTCATCCAATCTGTCAGCACAGAGGCACAACGTAGGCAGATTTTTTTTTTTTTTGCCACAATATTATTTAATGGCCCCTCGCAAGGTTAATAAGGGAGTCTTTGTTTGCCTCTGAAATCTTATGATTTCAATGCCATGACACCTGCCTTTTCCAAGCTCTGGTAGAAATAGCCCATTAGGCTCTGCCCCTGCTTGTTCAGTCAGGAGTTGCGAAGTCTCCCTCATTCCTCCCCAAATCTCCCATGGCCAGATTCACAGCACCAATACCACTCTTAGGGTCAATGTCTTTATTTGTTTCTTTTTTATTGCTGTAATAAAATACCTATCTGCGGAAGCCATTTGGCAGGAGGGAGGGTTTACTTAGGGTTATAGATGAAGAAGAAAAACAAACCATTGTTGAGAGAAGACATGTCAGCAGGAGGAGGAAGCCAGCCCAGTATCCAAGAAGCATAGAAAAAACAGAACGAGATAAGCTATAAAATCTCAAAGTCCACCCAGTGATATATTTTCTCCAAAAAATCACCTTCTAAATGTCCTATAACCTTCTGAAACGGTTCCATCAGCTGGTGCTCAAATACATTAGAGCAAGTGGGGCATTTAATGTTCAGACCGCAATGATAACACTATTCATTATTTTACCTCTTAGTTATACCTTCCTCATCAGGGCTTGAGACCATGTAGATGACGAAAACTTAACCTCTCTTTGTTATGCTCAATTACGTTTTAGGGGTTATTCTTAGGAGTTCAAAACACTCAGTCCCTTCGCCCCTCACTTTTATTATCAGTTGTGTCATCTGCTAGGATGAGAGTCTTGATGCCATGTGCTTTCCTCAGAAGTGGTGAGGACATTTAGCACTGGCAATATTTCCTCTGTCCAAGAAATACCTGCTAGAATTATATCTCCACCTTAAATGTTCCTCCCACTCAGTAAGGAACCGGCCTACGTCCCACTCACAACCGACATCAATTTCAATTTTTATGCTCTGAAAACTTTCGCTGACAGTATCAAATCACAGGCTCCTGGGTTTTATTGATCAGTTTTGTGATGCTCTCTAATTAGGCCATGACTTTTTCGGAGAATGTATTGAATTGCTGCCAATTTGGCAAAAAACTTGATTAACCCTTCCACAGAAATTTATTTAAAAAAACAACTGTAATTTCTACATTTGATGGGTTGTCTTCCACATGTAACATTCTCATGATAGTGTTAGAAGCCAGAACCTCCACTCAACAGTAATATGCCACCTATTAGTGCAAAGGTTTAGCTTCTAAAAGAAAATAGAAAACATCCTGGCCTAAAGCTTGCTATTGCCTTTATACCTGATGTTGGCTTAAGATAAAGCTGAAATTGGCATCATAATTAATATCCTTCCTTTGGAGCTATTACAGGAACTAGTCTCATCAGTGTTTCCTCATCCTTCATTGCATAAAACAGAATGTTATTCTTACAGCACAGGTGATAAGGAAAAAAAAAAAGAAAGAAATACCTAATCAAAGGCATTGCTTATGAGTGCTCTTGAAACACTAGACCTCCTGGAGTAAGTCCAGAGAGAATCAACAGCCTTGCAAACCTGTAACCTGTATAGCACAGGAGGAAAACTCACAAGTTCAAGCTCAGAAACCATTCATGTCTCTGCTTGTTACTTAGGTCAATTTCAGGTTATCATGTTTGTTTATTCATTAGTTTGTTTTCTCAAGTTATTTTTTTCTTCTTCAATGTGATTTTTTTTAGAGGTAATGAGATCTTTTAAAGGAAAAATAATAAGTCTCTGAAAGTTAAAAAAGAATACCTAAATGGCCAGACCTTAAAAAAATAATTTAAGAAAAGGTAATGGCATAATGGGTGGTCACAGTGGTCCAGTTACTTGAAAGGAGTAGGGTAGTTCTCAAGGGACCCTGCAATGGTTCTCATGGCTGAGTTTTTATTTAAAAAGAAAAGCTTCCCTTGCTTTAATATGTTATTGTATTCAGTAATTTTGTCCTTTTTCTATTGTCACTGTGACAATATCATCTGTCATAAAGTCTGTACTAGATCTCAGGAGATACTGAGGACCACTTTTAAAACTCAAGACTATAAAACTGATAAATTTCTTGTCTTTAAATAGTTAATTAGCTTCACTTATTTTGCTATACTAATAAAAATAAAAGTTCTATAATTATTTTAACCAAATAAATAGTATTTATTTAATTCAGTAATTGAAAACCTAAATATTGAGAATACAATGTTTTGGGGGGCAATCAATGTTTTTTTTTCTATTTTTTTCTATTTTTGTACTTTTATAGCTATGTTACACTAGAATACTACAATATATATATAAATTCAATATGTGAAGTTTACTGTTTCAATTGTTAATCATTAATTCATGTGAAATTATTACATCTTATGAATTTTCAGAAAGGCACTGACCTCAACAAGACCTTATTTAACTTATTGCTTGAACCAGTTTTCAAAGAAATCAAGCTGTCAGAGAAATAAGGCATACTTTCCTTAACAATATACTATATACTATTTACTTAGGTTAACATAATTGCTCCATATTAAACTTATTGAGTATGAAATGTAATGGACAAGCTTGAGTAAAGAAAAAAGTTGTTTGAAAAAAAAGTCATTGCAGTACTAGCTGGCTTCCTATGGCAAATGTTCAGGACCAAAATTAAATAAAGGCAGGTAAGGATTTGTGTATGTCACCTTCCATATTGAAGATGATGAATATTCTGTGTTCTATGGATGCCAAATGTCTGAAGCTCATGGATATATCTCATTGAATATAACAGACTACTGTGTTTTGGGAGGAGTTTTTAAAAATAATAGTTCTATGAGACATGTAAGAAATGGAAAATGACAAGGTTTAGATATGCTTGTGTGATGTGGTAAATAAAAACTTATAGATAAAAAACCAATACACTCTACTTCAGAGACAGAATAGATGGAAGAGCATCAGCCATCATAGTAGGGTGGGAGTGGCACAGGAGAAACTTGAAGTAGCAAAATAGATGCTGTAAAGAATTTACTGATTAATTTGCTAGAAAATATTAAGTTATAGAAGGTAGAATTTAGCTAAAGGGTTACTGCCTCCAACGAGACTGGAAGATGGTAGTTCACTAATAAGGCATGCTAGGAACTATGAGAAAGAAAATTCTGTACCAAGGCCTAGGTTTGCTGAGAAAATTTCTACTAATGTTTATTCACTAAAATTGAAGTCCAATGAGATTCCAGTTCCATAACTAAAGGAGACAACCATGACTTAAAACTGACCATTCGGGAGGGCGGGGCAAGATGGCGGCACCGGGAGGACTCTCATTCTGAACAGCAGCACAGCAGGATTAACACAGTGACCAGCAAGCAGAACTCGCGGCCATAAAACACAAGTGATTGTGTTTCACAGGTGAGAGGATACCCCACAGTGGGGGATTCAATCAGCTTTAACTCACCCGGCTAAACCGCGGAAGAGACCCTGGTTCTGCCAGGCGCTTGGTC